GTCAGCTTGGCGAGTTCTGTTTTCCTGCTGATTGAGGTTTTCCACCTTCCCGGTCCTGCAGCCTGGTTGTAGGGACAGCTTGGGAGGTGCTTGTAATTTTCTTTGACCGTGGGCTTTTGCCTCCCTTCTCTCAAAAAAAAGTGTTTGAAATTGAAATGTTTTGTTATGTGATAGCCGGTGGTTGTTGTGAAAAGGGCTTGGTCTAGTCTTGAACATGGAGTTCCCATATTTGAATCTTTCAAATAGCACCTTATAATAATAATAATAAAATCTATATTACCACATATAAAATAAATTAAGGGTGGTAAGGTAAATTACCCTTTAAACTGATAAATCCATAACCGTAAAATTCATGAACAAATTCTACAAGCAAACAACAAATTTTTGGAATACAAAATTGACCAAATCCATCATAAATCCTTCCATGATTAATTATAACTTCAATTTTCAAATACAACAAGCAAACCATGAATGACTTAACATATCCAGATATCCTTATAAAAACCAGGAAAATAAATGCAATGTGAAGCAGCCGGATTACGTATTTCATGAATCGGTGACCATAATGAATCCTGGCCCTATTCGAAATTCGAGATCGTGTATTTATGGTTGTGGTCAAACCAGGCATATGGGTTAAGATTGGACGGTAACAACACGGTTAATTAATTCTTCGGATTATCCTTTTCCATGCATGACAAATTATGTCTTTAAGTTACCATCCTCTCTTGGGCTAATCGATGCATAATTTTTGGCCAGAAAGCAGGTCAAATTAATAACTACCAATACTAACATATACAGCTGACTTTCAGGTGGGATAAAAAGAACAAAATAGTGGCCGAGGCCCGAGGGAAAAGGTTGTTGAAAGTGCCACTGACAATGTGTTTTTGGTTTATTAAGTGCTCAACGCCTCAACGGTATAAGCATTGTGAACCCTATACGAGGAAAACAGACCATTTTTTTTTTACATTTCTTATGTTTTTGTAGTTTTTAAGATAGTTGCCTCAATCAATCCAGTCAAAATTGTGATTTTACGTAAAACCGACAAATGAGGTAAAATCGGAATCGTAGATTAAATTCAAAAAATCGTAAAATTTTACGATTCATGTCAAAATATACAGTTAAAACAATAGATAGTATTAAGAATGAATATCCTCGATAATAATCAACCACACATAACTTAATTACTTACCAAGATAAATTTGTATGTTAAATAAACACAAATATTTCCATAGATTTATTCTTCTCAATAACATAAACACACAAATAAACAATATGAAATCTCATAACAATCACTTAATTTAGTTGATAATTTATAGTAGAAAATCACACAAGATCGTTAAGATCAACAACATCTTCACACATCATAAATCTTCACCCTCAATCTTCTTTCGTTTTCCTACGCTTGGGATGGTGGTTTCAGATCCACTTCTTGGCTCCGTCGATCTTTGTTCGGGAGGTGGAGTTGATGCGGCCAGAGGCTCCAGCGGCGGTGGTGACCAATGATAGGTATATGCTACTAGGGTTTGAGAAGGAATCTCGTGTTTGGCTCCTTGGGTTGGCCCCTATTGTGTATCCAACCGGCTCTGGGCTTTGGGATTGGTTTTTTTCTTCTTACCTTGGTTGTTGTATGGGTTGATCTTTTCTTTTGGGCCTGATCCATTTGCAACCTAATTGATCCATTTAAAAAAAAATCCTCACCCTCACTCTAATCCTCATAGAATACTTTTCTATATGTTTAAACAATGACATCATTATTCTTAAGATCACTTGAAGTACTTTCACCGTTAACCATATTTCTTTGATCAACATCATCTAGCAAAGGTAACTCATTGATTTATACATTCTCTTCTCGATCGAGAAAAAAGGTCAGGGATGATGGTGTTGAAGATTTGGGAGATGAATGAAAGCTTGCAAGAGAATGAGGATTGGGCTAATTGCGAGGGTGGTGGAGAACTAACTACGAGCTAATTGGGAGGGAGGAGAAAATGGTTGATGGATGGATATTGGTGTCGGAGTGCCTAAGAGGAAGAGATGAGAAAGAAAACAAAAATCAATTGAGGGTTGCCTATCGGGTTAAGGTTTTGTTGTTTATGATGTTGGTTTGGGGAAAGTGAACTTGACCCAGTTCATGTGCTAAATCTGACCCGACTGGGCTGATTTTCCTCTAATTGACATGGACCTTAAAATCGTACAAAATCGTATAAATCATCATAGATTTTAAGGACTTACAGTTTTAAATCTGAATTTTATGGGATTTTAAGGTTCATAAATTCTGTAGTAAAATCAGAATTAGAACCCATAGGTAAGATCGTAAAATCGTAAGATTTCATGATTAAAATTGGGATTTTGACTACATTGGGGTCAATTACATAATACGTGGGCTATTCATATAACATATTTGACATATCTTTAGTAGTGTGAATAATTCAAGCATGATGTGAATTAGTGAATTAGCTAACACATATCGTGTTAGTAACATGTGTAAATCTATATGTTATTTACTTATACTTGAGTTCTTTTTATACTACTTGCTCTTTCGAGTAACCAGAATTAATGAAAGTCTGTATTTTATTTAATGTGGTTGTAAGTCATTTTTGGGAAAATTGGAGATCCGGGGGTTAAAGATAGTCAGATAGAGAGGTTGACGATTTCTTTTGCAATGCATGAGTAATCTTTTTCAGAATTATTTTAATATTAGTATTGAAAATTTTTATTGAGTAACTTTGCAAGTGAAAAATGGTTGGGCGTTGGTTAAACTTAAAAGAATAGGTGAAATCCACCGCTGAAATCACAAACAAATATTCATCATGTAAGTGTAAAACTATCTTCAAATTTGTCGATCTAGTGAGCAATAAAAATTAACGTTCAAAATTACTCAGTTATCAATAGATTGTAAGGGCGGAGATGGGTCTCCTCTCCATAGCACCACCCCCAAGCTCTCAGCAAGAAACACACATCAATTCTAAAAAAAAATTGTTACTAATTATTTATTAATTAAGGAAACATTATTGGTGTTCGTTTTAGGCTCGAACAAGCCGGGAACTGAGTTCCTATTTTCTCAATATAATTCTCCTGGAAGAATAGTCTTGTCCGGTCCCCAAGGGCCAAGGCTATGATAAGTGTTGACAAGAGGAGGGCGATGACGGAACTGATGGTCGCTGCAACTCTTGCGGCGGCGTGGCTGTTGATCAGTTGCTCCCTAAACTTCCTCGCATTGGTTGGGACTCTCGACTTTGCAGTTTGGTCATCGGCGGGGCGGACAATTGATTGTGTTAAAAAAGCGTGAGTTGATCCAGGGAATCAGCAGGGAAAGCTTTCCCCTAGAACAATCATATTTGTCCCCAGGAAGGCTACGCTTGACATTCACATGGACAACCGGTTTCGCAACTATCTTGGCGAGATCCTCCCTCAGCTTTGCTGGTTTCGCTCCTGAATTCTCGGAGAAGCTTGACGCTATACTCCACTAACTCGATGATCCTACATCTATCCTTCTCCGATAGATCGATCATGGCTCTGATACCAAATGAAAAAAAAAAAAGATTTCATTGATGTAAAGGAAATGAAATTGATATGTAGTCAAATGATAAAAATTGTTGATGTAGCAGTAGGAGCCACATATGAAATCAAAATGGAATTTCATAGATGTTGGTTTAACACCCAATTCATTAGAAAGTGCTAATACTAGCTCCAATCTAATATGAACATTTAATTTTGATGACTTTTTATTCCAAGGGTTTGAGCACAATTCATGCAAATTTATAAAAGAAAAGGCCTTACATGTTATTATTAAAGATTATGGGGCACACGTGTGTGGCGATGTGCATTAATTTTGCGCCCTGCACCTCACCACAAGTATTATGAAGTATACCACAAAATACAGAACATAAACACAACTAACCACACCACAGACAACATAAAGTAGACCAAAACCTCTCTACTCCACAAAATTCATAAAGAATACAAGAAAACGCAAAGCACACAACAAGTTTTTTAAAGCAAACCAAAAAACTCATAAGCATACAAACATTTTGCTAAAGAAGACAAAAAAATCTCATAAAGCATACCACAAGTTCTGAAAGCTGACCGCAAGTTTCGTAAAGCATACTAGGAACCTCATAAACATATCACAAGTTTTTTAAAACATATAAAATATCTCATAAACTTGAACCTATTTGTAAATTTTTAAAAACTTTACTTATCAAAATGAAAGACATAAAAATATTATGTACTAACATATGATTTTCCATTGATATTTTAAGGTATTTTATACAATTTTTTTTAGGTACTAAATCTTAAATCTATTGAGTTATGTATCAAACCGTAATTGAAAGAAAGAAACCCGCCGCATGCCCATGTACTGTACACGCAGACACCTTTTACTGCACAACGTGACTGAGAATTACTGTTTCAACCTGGCATGGGCTGGCCTGTGGACTGGAGTTGGGTGAGGCCTCATTGGGATCTGGCGTGGGATTTGGCGGGCTCTGGGGTCTCGGTCGGTGTGGGACTGGTCGTTGGCTTCTGGTTGGCCTTAGTTGCGGTCATTTGGTGGCCCGGACGCGCGTTGGTCATCAGAGATCGGCATGTGACTTTGCCCCTGCCCGGGCACGTGGGACGGGGCCTTCAGATATGCTCAGTAAGTCTTGCGTGATATGATTGTGTCTGTTAGGGATTCCTAGAGGGTCGTGTTGGGCTGTTGTTCGCAGGACTGTGTTGGAAAAACTTGGCGGCTGATTGGCTGGGGTTGGAGGTGCTTTGGGGATGGTGGACAACTGATTGATACCGGTTATTCACCTGAGGGCGGGGGGGTGTCAAACAGTTTACTGCTTCCAGCTCTGTACACGTCATTCAGTGCCTCGATGCGTGCGCTCAGGTGGAGAAGGGTATTTCTCATTCTTTTTGCACAAGAGGACTCATTCTCGGAACACATTTCCCTCTTTTTCTTCTCCCCTCTTTGTTCTCTGTGGTTCAATCGTTGTTTTCTCGCCTTTTTCCTCACCATGGATGCTACTCTGCTCTGCAATCTCAAAGGAGGTACCAGAGAGGTGACTCTGAGGCTTCGTTTGCTCCATATGCGGTTTGCCAAGAATCCTTCTGGGACAAGGGTGTTTAATCACTGTTGCCTCTGAGTGGATCAGACGGTGATTCTCTTACGCTGATTCTTTGTGATTACAGTGCTTTCTGTTTTTTTACTCTTTTTTTTTTCCTTCTTTGCTCTTTCTTGACTGCCTTTCTTTGTTTTTATTTAGGGTATGCTCATTCAGAGCCTGGCTGATGTCTCTATTGGGTCTAAATTTGAGCGTGTGCTGCGCGTGGGAGTTATCTACGTTCTTAGGTCTTTCGGTCTCAGTGCCGCAAGGAATCTCTATCGTGCTTGCTCATTTGATCTGATAATAGAGCTGTCAGCAACAACTATTTTCCAGGCCTGTTCTCTGCCTGCAGCTGAATTTCCAACTGATTCCTTTGAGGTTGTTCCTTATAGTGAGCTGTCTAACCGTTCAGGGGACAATCGTATCCTTGCAGGTGATTATTGCGTTTTCTTGACTGAATTGGATTGGGTTTTATGTCTTCTTACTGCTCTTTTTTTTCTGTCAGATGTTGTCGGCCGTCTTCATTCTATTAGCGGGATTGATCATCAGGTTACTAATCACGGCTCGACTCCAAAACAAGTTTTGGTCCTTAAGAATGCACAGTAGGTCTTTCTGTGATTTTATTTTTGCACTGGGGAATACTGTTTCGTCACCTTCACGTAAGATCTGATCCTTTGTTTCACTATAAGGGGCCAGAGGGTGTCAATCACGCTTTGGAATGAACTGACTGCAGTCCTTGATCGACCTGCTTTGATTCAGGCGGACTCCATTGAGCCAGTGATCATTGGAGTTGGGGGGCTCATGGTTGGTCGTTTGATAGGTGTGTATTTTACCTCTTTTCCAATTTGCTTGATCATAAATTGTGAACTGATTTTGTTTTTGTTGTACAGCCGGTGAATATTCCTGTTCGAGCTCCTCTGGAACCCGTATAGTTGTTAGCCCGAGGATACCAGAAGCTTACAGCCTCGCTGCTTTGTGGGTTCTTTATTGTTAAACTGTGATTTTTTTGTTCTGGATTTGCTTTGTGGTGTTTGGTTTGCTTGACTTTTTTGTGTCCATCTATGCAGTTTTGGTGGATCCAGAGTTCCTGTGGCTGATTTACCGGTCAAGTTTACAACCCCGGGGGACGCTGTTGCTGATGCTGAGCGGAGAACCAGGACCATAGCTGAGCTTCTTGATTTGCACTATAGCGGTGCTTCTGTCGTGAGTTGCATTCCGATGTAGTTCTTGATTTTAGACTGGTCCTGGGGTTGTCCATTTATTTATGTTTTTTTTTTGCTTTTTGGGATTATCAATGTTTATATTCAGGATGAAAAGCATCGTTGCGGTGGTAAAAACCGATCGGTTGATTCCCGGAGCCCGTGGTATACATGTCATGCAGCATGTGCAGAAAGAAGTGTTCTACGTGGCGAAATGGTAACTACTGGTGTCCTGACCATTGGGAGATCACTGAGCAGCAAGTGACAATTGGGTGTGTGTTTTGTCTGATCATTAGTTTTTGTTTTTGTTTATTTCACTGTGTGCCTGTCAGGTCCTAGAGAATTTGCCAAATTTTTTGAGTTTGCACTCCTATGCTTGTCCTGATGGAATTGTCTCTGCTTTTTACTGTGTCGTCTCTAGCTACAAGATCCAATTGACCCTACGTGATGCCACTGACGAGGCCCCTTTCATTATTTTCGGGCCGTGTGGGAACAATTTGGTGCTCACATCTGCCCAACTGCTTGCCCAGAGATATCCTCACAGGTCTGGTCAGCTGCCGCCTGAACTTGAGGCTTTGCTCGGCCAGTTTGTCAGGTTTGAGGTCAAGCTTCCGATGGTTGGGTCAAGTGGAGTATCTACGGGTGAATTTCGGGTTTTCCGAGTTATGCCCCGTGATGTTCAGGGCCCAGTGCTTGGTCTTACAGGAATTCCAGATGTCACAGGCAGTGTTTCTTTGTCCCAAACCCTAAGTCAGTCCTATTCTGGTCAGGAAGGAATGTTGTTGCTGCCTGCTCCAGGTGTACCTTTCGCAGCTTCAGCTTCAGCTGTCATACCATCTAGGTGAGGGTTGTTTGCTCTATTGTTATGTTTGTGTTGGTTAATTACGGGGGTTTGGGTTTTTCTTTGGTTAGTCTAATTATTGATCTTTGCTGTTACAAATCTAGCTCATCCAAAGGAAAGGAAAAGGTTGTTGACTCTGTGTCGGCTGGAGGCACGAATCCAACATTCCAGGTTGGCCAGGTTGCAGGGTTGCCTCTTAGGTAACATTTGGACTGTTTTACTTGATTTGGTATTGATGCATTAACCTGTGCTTTGTTGCTGTTGTGGCATGGTTAATACTTATGTGCTCATTTGGCTCTTACAGTTCATCTCAAGTTTCTTTGGTCATCAAGGAGAATGTTGTTGTGTCCGACGTGATTTCGCCAAATTTACTGCCTCCTGTTTCATCTATTGCACCTTTGCTTTCTGTTGCTGATGTGAAAGGAAAAGGAGCAGGTCCAGGGGCAACTGTTGTGGCAGCTCCTTTTACCATTGCAGATCCTTTGAAGGTCTCTGATGTCCAATCAGTTGGTGCTGTGAAAGGTGCAATGGGGAGTCCTGGAACTCGGAGTGATGGTATGGATGTGATGAGTTCTACTAGCCAGGGAGTACATGGTTTGTCATCCATTGCTGGGCTGAGTTCTGATACTCCTCAGAGTAAAATCAGCAAGTCATCTTCGACGGTTTCGCCTTTGTCTTCAAGGAGTCTGTGAGTTTTTTACTTTTAAACTTATCGTGTCATGGTTAGTGTGCATTCGGAATTTATTGATTTGGTCTTTGAGAAGCTGGAATCTTCTGGAACTGGATCTCCTAATGTGAGGCAGGATGATGAGCAAACAGAGAGTTTGTCCCCTTTTTCGCTTGCTGACCAAGCTTCACACCAGGCACCTGGGAAGCCTTCTGCTGCTAAGCGTCGCCTGTATGAATCTTAGGGTATAAATTTGAGTCTGATCCCTTCGTGTGTTATTTATTAGTTTTGAATGCTGATTGGTTATGTTTTGTACTGGATCTAAGTTATGCTAGGTGCAAGAAAGGTGGTTGCCTTTTGTGGATGCTGGATTTGCTGCAAGGAGACAGTCCTTTTGATGGTGGGCAGGATGATTATGTTGTTGATCGTTTGAAGTTGTGCTGGTTGGAGGGTTTGCAGCTCTTTTGTCAACTTCTTAGGAACCTGTTTGTAGACTTTGTTCTTGCCTTGCCTGGCCGTTTCTGGAAACTTTGTGGAAATTATGTTGTTGGTTACTAAACAAAACTAATGTTGCTTCGGGTATCTATTTATGTGGTGTAAATTTTAAGTGCATGTAATTCTCTGTGCAAGATCAGGGTGGTCAGTTTGGACACCTGAAATGTTGTAACCCCAGTGTGGGCAAAACTCTGACCTTTTGGTCCCTTTTTGTGGAATGTGGATGCTTAGCAGTTTTTATGCATTATCAAAGAATATAGTTTTTATCTAAGATGCATGTGTTTTACATTTATGTCTTAACTGTATGTATATGCAAATATAACAAAAATGTTCTTTACATCATGTGGTGGGAAAGAGTAAGCATTGTCCACAAGAAAAATATGATAAGAACAGGCGAAATTAGTAATGGATAGCAGACATGCTAATATTAAAAGGAATCTTTTGGGTTGCAAGATTTAAATAATTTAGGTTAATCATGTGCCCAAAATCTAAAGCATTAAATGCAAAAGCCATCATTGTTTACCCTTGGTTACAGAACCAGCAGTCACAATGACTACTTGGATAGAGATTAGACACCTAATATAAAATTATATATTAATTGTATAATATCTTATTAAGGAACACATCAGAAATCAAAGAGATTTCATCAATGGACCTTCAACTTTCTCTTTGCCCTCTGGTTTTTGCTCCTGTGTTCAGCAAGTAGTTCTGTTTGTGTCGACTTTTTCCCTTCAGTAGAGTGTCAGCGAGCTGGAGTATACAGCAAGGTAAGACCTGCTGATCAGTTGTTTGGAGCTACACGCCAGAGACACACATCATTGGTGATATAGACCCCCTCATCAGATACAGTTAAGCATGTCTGTATTCGTTATTCCTTAGTTACACATTAATGGAACCTCATTAAATGATTTGGATCCTCTTCTTTGTCTATCTGACCAAGACAGAACACTGAAGTTTGCAGTTATTGAACTTTTGTTTTTTGCTCATTTAAGTCTGACTGGATATCAAACATTTACTTCATGTAATCAGAATGACACCTAGAAGGAAGAAAGCGCCTTCCAACCTGCTGAGGCGAAAGAGAGGTGACACTTCTTTCACAATCGAATCCTCCAGGAATCCAACTAACAGCATTTCAGATATAAACGTGGATAACACCAGAGTAAACAAAAGATTGAGAAGCCTGTCGTTCATTCTCTCAGGGGAAATTTCAAAGTCGACAAATGCTCACAACAGTGAGTTCGTTCCTCCAGATCCTTATACAGAAATGGGTGATAATGAGGCATCTTGCAGTTCAGCTACAAATGATCGTCAATGTCAAAAAGCAAAGAAAGCATCAGCTGATGTCCCAACTGCAACGAAGCCATTGCACAATGATAGGCTGAGCGTTGGAAAACCTGACTGTGTCTGTCAGTTCTGTGGTGCTTTTTTTTTTGTATGCTGAGCGATTGGATCGACACAGGAAATCCTTAAATCCTGTGTATAGTCTTTGTTGTCAGAAAGGAAGAGTTTGCATTCCCCTATTAAAGCCACCACCTCCATTACTTGCTCAGCTATTGGATCTTAATGGAGGTGCAATGTCAAAACATTTTAGAGACAACATTAGACCCTACAATGGTTCTTTGTGTTTCACATCTTTTGGAGCCAAACTGGATCCACGCTCTTTGACAACAAGAGGACCATATTCGATGGTTATTTGTGGTGAGAATTACCATAGGATTGGATTCTTACTTCCAGTTGATGGAAATAGGCCAAAGTTTGCTCAGCTATATATATATATATATATATATATATATATATATATATATTTGAACCTGAAAATGAGGTTAACAATAGACTTGCAAACTTTGCATCTCGAGAGGAAGTCTTGCTGCCTGAGTTACTTGCAAGTTTGCTTCGAATGCTTGATGAAAACAACGAGTTGGTCAGAACATTTAGGCGCATTCGACAAGATCTCCAGCTTTCTTCCACACCAAATCTCCGACTCAGAATCTTTGGGATCAAAAGTAGGAATCGACAATATGACTTGCCAACTAGCTCTGATATTGCAGCCTTAACACCTGGTGATTTTGTTGCAGATAGGGAGGATAGAGATATCATTGTTGACCATCGAGGAGAAGGGCTGAAACGTATAACAAGCCTCAACCCAAAATTCGAGGCTCTTCACTTCCCATTGCTATTCCCGTACGGAGAAGATGGATTTCATCCTCAAATATCTTATAATGCCTCCTTTTGTCCAGCATCAATGCGCAGAAAATTTGTTACTCAAAAAGAGTATTATGCTTTTAGACTTCAGTATCGATTGAATGAGGGGCATACACTGGTTCAAAGTGGCAAGGCATTGCAACATTAATGTGTTGATGCATTTTCAACAATTGCAATCGACTGGCATTTCTTAGAACTCATCAAAAAGATTTAAGAGCAGAAGTTTATCAGGGATTACAGGATGCATTTGCAAAGGGAGACATGGATGGAGAAAAGCTTGGAAGAATTATAATGCCATCATCTTATACATGAGGACCAAGATATATGCAGCAACTTTATCATGATGCTATGGCAACCTGTCAACATTATGGTAACCCAGATTTATTTGTTACATTTACCTGCAATGCTCTTTGGGAAGAAATTGTTGACGCTTTTGCAGATATGGTTGGACCAAACAGCGAGTTGAAGCCTATGGTGGTCTGCCGTGTGTTTCACATGAAGCTTGCCATATTAATTGACCAGTTCAAACGAGAATCATATTTCTAAAAAACGATAGCCAGTGAGTTGGCTGTAGATAACCTTTCATTGTATAAAATTTCTTTGATTATTTGAATGAGCTATCAAGTTCAAATGATGGACTGTTTTTTCACAGTAATCTCCACAGTTGAGTTTCAGAAGATGGGCCTCCCACATGTCCATATGCTTATATGGTTGGCCAAAGAGGATAAACTAAAGTCAACATCTGACATTGATGAGATGATTTCTGCAGAAATACCAGACCCCAATCTAGATCCAGAAGGGTATGCTGCAGTGGTTAAGTTCATGATTCATGGACCTTGTGGAGTTAACAACCCCACTGCACCATGTATGAAAGATGGTAAATGTTCGAAGTATTTTCCGAAAGAATTCTGTTCAGAAACTTCGTTCGACAAGTTTGGCAATGTCGTGTACAGAAGAAGAAATTCAGGCATTCAAGTTCAAAAAGGAAAGGCAATGCTGGATAATAGATATGTCGTTCCATACAATCAGAACTTATTGGTTAGAGCTCAAGCCCATATTAATGTGGAGATATGTCACAAGGGAGGATTAGTGAAGTACTTATTTAAGTACATTACTAAAGGACCAGATAGATCTCTTATTGTTGCAGAAGACTCGACAAGCTCAGTTCAGGTACCATCAAATATAACGAAAAAAACAAAAGACGAGATACAAGAATTCATTGATTGCAGGTCACTGTCCTCCTACGAAGCTATATGGAGAATCAACGAGTATTCTATACACCACAGAGAGCCTAATGTGGTTCGACTTGGTGTACACCTGGATGGACAACAGAATGTTTCATACAAGAGAAGGTCAAATATCCAAAATGTTTTGCAAAATCCAAGGGCAGGGAAAACTCATCTTACTTCATGGTTTGAACTTAACAGACATGATTGCAATGCAAGAAAGCTTACATATGCTCAAATACCAAATTCCTTTACATGGAATGAAGAATACAGTGAATGGACTCCAAGGAAAAGAGGTTTCGCAATAGGAAGGATAGCATATGTTCCTCCAGGAAGTGATGATATATTCTTTCTTAGGCTGCTATTGACCAAAGTAAGAGGAGCAACAAGCTTCCTCAATTTAAGAACAATACAAGGGGAGGTTTGTAGTACTTACGAAAGAGCATGCCAAAAGTTGGGGCTTCTGTCGGACTCTTCAGAATGGATTCAGGTATTACAAGAAATTGCAGCATCAAGTATGCCACACATAATACGGACTACATTTGTTTCAATGCTGATGTTCTGCGAAATACCTGATCCTAATGCTCTATTTGAATCTTCATGGAGGTTAATGAGTGAAGATCATGTTTATTCTCTTCGTAAACAGCTACACTCAAAAACTTTCCAGCCTTCAGATGAGAGACTTAAGAATTGGGTGTTACATCAACTGGAAACTTTACTGAGGACTTATGGTTCTTCACTTCAGCAATTACATCTCCCAAGACCGACAGATTCAGAATCTGACGATGGATCAAATCCCCTGATTAATGAGCATCTTAACTTTGATGATGATCAACAAAGGTTACTGGCAAATACTATGGTTAGCAAACTGAACACAAAACAACTAGAGGCTTTCACACTCATTATTCTCTCTATCAACAACAATCTTGGCAGTTCATTTTTCCTATATGGCCATGGAGGAACAGGCAAGACTTTTCTCTACAATGCAATCATTGCAAAATTAAAAAGTCTCTCCAAAATTGCTATAGTTGTTGCCTCATCTGGAATAGCAGCCACACTACTACCAAGCGGCACAACTGCTCATTCAAGGTTCAAGATTCCCCTTCATATAGACCATACATCTACATTTTCAATAAAGAAAGATACTCATTTAGCTGAGCTAATACGTGCAGATTCATTGATTATTTGGGACGAAGCACCGATGACACATCGAAATGCATTTGAGGCTATAAGCAGGACGTTTTGTGATTTGATGGACATACCACTATCAGGTCCAAAACACAAGTTGTTTGGAGGAAAAACAGTAGTCATTTGTTGTGATTTTAGACAGACTCTGCCAGTAATTTCAGATTCAGGAAGGGAACAAACAGTTGATGGATCCATCACGAGGTCATCGTTGTGGCCCTTTTTTCAGGTGCTCAAACTGTCAAGGAACATGAGGCTTAATGATTCACAAGATAATAGAAACCTGGTCGGCTGTGGAATGAACTTTGGTGAGTGGATTCTGGCACTGGGAGATGGAAGGCTGCCAACAAAATCTTTTATGGCAAACACACCTTCAGATTGGATTGAGATACCACAAATACTTTTGATATATGTTGGAAAAAATCCAATCGAGTCAATCACAAATGACATATATGACGCATTTGAGGAACAACACATGAGCACAGATTACCTAAGTGGAAGGGCGATCGTTACTCCTACTAATGCAGTTGTGACTGAAGTGAATGACTTCATGTTGCAAAAAATTCCTGGACATTGCCGTTGCTACTACATTTCAGACTCTATGCAACTTGATACAGAGGTACCTCAGCTATTCGCTGAAACTTACCCAACAGAATTTTTGAATGCTCTTCAGTTCAATGGTGTTCCAGATCATGAAATAAGACTTAAGGTTCACACTCCAATCATGTTGCTGAGAAATTTGAGCCCACCAAACGGCCTATGCAACGGTACGAGGATATTGATTACGAAATTGGGGGAAAATATCATTGTAGGAAACATCATGGGAGGATCTTTTGACACAAAAGAGGTTGTTATACCACGAATAGTACTCAACGTAGAAGACAAACGCTGGCCCTTTATACTGAAGAGGAGCCAATTCCCAGTACGTTTATGTTATGGGATGACAATAAATAAGAGCCCAGGCCAAACGCTGGACAATGTTGGAGTCTATTTGCCTAAACCAGTATTCAGTCATGGACAACTTTATGTGGCAGCATCAAGAGTAAGATCTGCAGGTGGTTTGAGATTCTTGATTGAAAAATGAAGAGGACATTCCAGTCAATTACACAAGAAACATTGTATATTCAGAAGCCTTCACAGATATTGCACCTGCTTAATTCTGCAAGCATCGAAGAAGCTCGAAGTGGTTATTATGAACTCTCCCAACTTTTTGAATTTTACGCCTGGAAAAATTTGTTCTTCCAGTTCTTGCGTTGTTCTTAACAAGAGACACATTTTGTGTTTTTTATTTCGAAACTCAAAGCTAGAAAGCAGTCATGAGTTTTTATCAGTTAACATCGGTTCGGACTTTCCAGAGAGAAGTTAGAAAGAAAATTCGATGAGCCCAACTGATACAACTTGACAGAACAATCAGCGCAGGAGCGTATTGTAGCCTTTTTTGTAAAAAGGCCTGATTCAACAGTTAGACCCCATTGCATATCAAACAGAGCCCAAACACGATGCAAGGCCCAAACAATAGATCCAAAAAGGACTTACCCTAAGTTAACCCTAGCTTACATAAACTACCGATATGTTTTTTTATGCCTTCTAGAATCGGCCGCGCAGTCAAGATACACGAAACACGGGAAACCAGGGTCTCGAAGAACTGGAAGCTTTCTTCTACCCAACAGATTTACAGTTGTATAGTAAACTGATACGTGAGCTTCCATGGACCCACACAAAATGGAATCTTTGAGGAATAAGCATCAAACTACAGATCGCGATTGTGTGGTCCCCAACGAACTGAAAGGTAAATACATTGAATCTGGAAAGAAATCCTACAAACGCATCTCGATTCCTATGCGAGTTTTTTCCATTTATTATTTATCGATTCGTCTTTATTCGCGTTGCAGATTCCATTGATGCAAGCATGTGCTTTCGGGGACTGCGTTTGGGAACAATCAATCGAACCGTTATAGCTAGACATGTCGTTACATGGTCTGAGTTCCGAGAAGTGCCTTTATCCACATGGAAGAAAAGGACACATCACATGCTCTGGCTTGACAAAAAGGTTTGGCTCCAGATACCCCAACCATATTCATAAATATTCGTAAGAGCATTTGATTCAGTGTTAAGACAAAAGAAATTACCAATATACAAACCCTAAACATCAATTAACCTACTGGCGAATACTAAAAGATCAAAAACTCTTGACAACATATCTATATACCATTGACTTTACAGAACAAGTTGATCGAAGCTCAGGTTGAAGAAGAAGATGCAGCTGAGGTTTTTAAGAAAATCAATGTTGGCTGCCTGCATGAACTACAAGATATTGTAGCAGGTCCAGCAAGGTCAGTGCAACGCATTGTCCATCGAGAGTTCCGCCTGCTCCTCACTTCAGATCAAATTAGAAGGCACATTGAAGAAGGATATGGACCCCAGCAATTTCCAGTAGGATCATACACAACAGCCGATTTTTCCATTGTGCCTCAAACATCAGAAGACTTTGTCTGCCATTCAGGTAAATATATGTCTCTCTATCCATGATTAAGAACACCATTAAACAAAGCACAACAAACATTAAATCTGTAGATGTTACAGGATGTGTTAGAAGACTAACTCATCAAGAAACAATTAAAGGAAGGATTCAGAAATTCGACCTGGTCATACAAGATGTCTGGTATGCTCTTAAGACTGTACACTTTTTTTTGCTTTGTAAGAATGTATAGTTAACGCATTGCTTTGCAATCAGTGGGGCAAAGGCTTATGTTGAATACAGTGGGCATGACATTGATGATTTTCAAAAGCATGCTCCAGCAATGGAGTCAAAGTTACCATTGATTGTGACAATCAAATCAGTTAGTAGAGTAACTCCTAGACATGGCAGTAAATATCAGCACGAATTTCGATCCACAATTGCGAGTAAGCTTATCATTCATTCTTATCAGGACAACTGCAAGGATATCATGAACATGTGAGTTGCTGTATATGGGTTTGCCCAAGATAACTGATTGGTTCAACCACTATCGAGTTAGTGATACTTACACACTTCTTTTCAACATGTAGCTTTCTTGCATGTCGCAAACCAGTTTACTTCTTCGATGATGTTACTTGCAAAAAAACTGGCCACCTGCTGAGCAATCAACTGCCAAAGAAATCGCTGAGAGAGATAAAAGAAAGGATGGAGGACCTGTCAGATTTCACAGAGGTATATGAACAAACACCAGCATTGACTTCAGCTGTATATTTTCATCTGTTTACCTGTATAATACATCTGACATTTTATGCAACAGGTCACTTACATGACATTGATTAACATTCCAAGGTTTATATACAGAAAAAGCATCTGCAAAATTCGTGAAGAGAACACAGGGTAAGCTTTTGACCATCCTCCCATGTTTACACATGCGATAATAATACTTTCTATATAAACCTAACAAAAAGATCTTTATTGCAAGACTGACATACAAACTGGAAGGGAGATGTCGCCAAGAAGGATCTGAAATAGATGTGGTGTTTGAGCATGAAGCAGCTCTGTCACTTATTCGTAAGTCACCGTCAGATTATCTGTTTCTAAAGAAGGACCAAATCATAGAATTGATCGCAAAGAACTGTGACAAAAAATTTGCGGCGGAATTGAATGTCGCATGGAGAAAAGTGGGAGACAGTGATTCAGACATACAACCAAAAGCAACAGTGCTCACCCTGTGGGATCGATCAGCATTCGAGAAATGATGATGTCCTTCGAAGCTTGCCATTTTGATATCGTGCAAACCACAAAGGCACGAAACTTCTGAAAACATTTTGTCCTGCCAAGCTTAAAATCTTCAGTCTCCGTCATGGAACTTTTATTAATTTAGTAGATATATCGTGGAAAACTTGGACACACTCCTGACTACATTTATGTTTATTCTGCAAACCCAGTCAATCTTTTGCATAATGACCCCAGTTTTTATGTTTATGACAACATTTATGTCTATATTTAGGACATAAACTATTATGGTTATAGATTATATTAAATCACATTGAAATTATAACATAATTAGTATCACGCGGCGGAGCGCGGGCTGAATCCTAGTTTGCATATAAACCCAAATCCATCAAACGGAGGGGAGGAGTTGTGATAGATGGTAGTTGCTATAATACTCATATAATTAATGTAAGTAGAATGATAATGTTAACATCCTATATTGTAATTAAAAATTTAAGTGGTAGAATGATACTCTTTAGAACGAAGTCACACGTCAGGCAAGAAAGAGTTGGAACTGAACGTAGCTACGGCAGCTATTTGGGCTTCCCAGGAACGGCCTAAGCCTCTTTTAAGAATCCAAATCGTTTGGATGAGGAATTGTAACGGATCAATTGGACACAATTGTCTCGTTTTGAGACAATTGTATCAAATTGCCTCGTTTGCCAGCAAAAAAATTGGATGGATCAATCTGCCTGAGGTATTTTGAATTGATCCGTTTTGAGTCAATTTCTATTACCTGGGGTGGGGGCAGGTAATTCGAATTGACTCATTTTAATTGCCTCGTTTATAAAAAAAGACAATTGATCAAATTGACTCATTTTTAGATTGATCCATCCAAACGACCTACAAAAAATGGACCCGGCCTTTGCGGGACAAATGACTGGCTCGTAACTGCTAGAGTGCTAGGTAACAATTTGTTGCCCACGTAGCCCACCAGGAGGCTACCCTCGACCCTCGAGACAGATGGTGACCTCTGACTCTCTGAGGACGTAAGTAGCGTAGATTTTTTTTTTTCTTCCAAATATATTCCGAAATGGAATAAGACAGATACAAATAAGTACATGACCGTAAGTAGCGTAGATGTTAGCGATAGCCAATATGTATAAGATACATAATTAATCTTATAAAAAAACTGGTTCATTGATATCAACTAGTTTATGACACTATATTGAGTTGATTTGACCAAGTAACCGTGTGTTCAAATATTTACCTTTTATTAATAGTTGATTTAAACACAATAAATTTGTGCAAACTTCAAATCAAGACTCAGTTTTCATTTAAAGAGCGTATAAAAAAATGATGTAAAATCTATAATTAATATTCTCCCAACACTCAGGATTATTAGTAACAACTAAATATGAACTAGGTTTGGCAGTGCTTCCTGGGTCACGCTGAATCTGAAAGCCTTTGCCTTGGACTAATGCCAGGCAGCTCCATTCATAAATATGGACTGGGTTTGTGCAGGTTTTGGGTCCGCCACACTATAATTTTGAAGGCCGTCTCGGTTGGGATTGCCTAGGCCCAAGAAAAGGTAAACAAAGGCGTGGGGGAAGTTCTAATTCTGATGATGATATGGGAATGGGTATTTGTCTATTTGGTTAAAGTTAGTGCGGCAAATGAGACAAACTGTTCATAAGCAGCTCCACGTTCAACTCGGAAATAGTACATTCGTAACTTGATTTGTTAGTAAACGAGCCAAGTTTGAGCTCATCTTTATTCGGCTCATGAGGTTCGCGAGCTAGTTCGACTTATTGGCTCGTTGAGTTAAACTAATAAGTTGGCTTAATAATATGGTTAACGAGTCAATTCGCCTAGTGACTTATGAGTGAATCAATATATATATATATTCATGGTTCAGACTGGCGTACGATGTACGCCTGTGTTCACGCTGTCGGACGACCTTTCAGTTTAAATATTTAGACCACGAATTAACTGAAGTTTGGGGTATGATACTATACCCTAATCTCTAATGGGTGAGCCTCATTCTCTAATTCCATAACTCGAGCCACAGAACTCATTTAATCTAAAATAATAATAATCGAGGTTGAGTAGAGCTCATGACCTCCTTAATGAGCTAAGTTTCGTTTCTTAATAGTTAAAGCTTAGGAAAAACTAGGCCCAACTTGCCTCGTTAAGAAACAAATCGAGCTAAAGTTTAGCAAAACTCGACTAGACTCATTGGCAACTCTAGTTAATGTGGTGGTGACGAATTGTTGTGGGAGCTGTCCACGAGATACAAGAGTCTTTTCCCCCATTTTTCGTATTGTTAGTATGACGTTAATATTAATGGGTATTAGCACCTATTTTCTTTCTTTTTAGTATTGTTAGTATGACGTTAATATTAATGGGTATTAGCACCTATTCGGTCTTGTTTTAGGAGGTATATATATGGGGTAATTAGCATAAAAGGTCAAAAACCTATTCACTTTGTACGAAATGGTCACAAACCTTTAATTTTGCACGTTTCAGTAACATACGTTTGAGAGAATAACAAAATGGTCATTCCGCCCATCTCCATCCAAAAAAACCGTTAGTTTTGTCCAGTCAACATGCCACATCATTTAAAATATTAATAAATAATTTAATGACCAAATCCAATTGAACCCGACAACCTAACCAAAAACCCTACTCCTTTACCACCCAAAATCTTGGAGACTACTTAATAAAATAAAAGAATCTTGGACACTACAATTTTTCACTCGGCCCTATAGAGCGATTCCGCTCCCCAGAATTGCACCCTCAGAACAGCCTCCCGTCGCCCTTAGAACAGCGGTGGAGGAGGAAGAAGAGAAGCGCGTGGGACACACACCGACCGAACGATGGTGGTTTCGTACTCATTCGCTCCTTAGCCGCCCAAAGCGATCAGGGGCGGAGGCAGTGGGTTGGAAGGGGATGCCACTGCACACCCTTGGATGTGGGAGAAAGAGTTAAAATTAGTAGGTTGTAATGAAACTTGTACATGAAACATTATTTTTAGTGCTTAATTAGTATTTCTACCATCAAACTACAAGTAATAATGTATATTTAAATTATCATTAGTTATATAGATTATATCATAGTTAGTAGATGAATAAAATAAAATCAAAATAAAAATATTATGCCATTAACTTGGCCTTTTTAATATGTAATTTTTCAGATGATAATTGTTATCTCCAACGTATAGTGACTTTTATCCTCTCACAATGCAACAATGTCAACTTATTGGGGTTCTATTATCTAACTATCTTGTCAAACATGGTTTCTAAGTCGCTCACCTCTATCATCTCATTCCAATCGACGTTACTCGGTTATCCATGATCATTAGATTAACTTTAACGTACGTAATTGTCCATGGTTTGGAATGATTAACCAAATCACAAATCATTAGTTAGTAGGACATATTGAAAATAAGGTCTTTGGTAGTCTATATAAAGAATATATATATCAAAAGTTTATAGTAGAAAACATTCTTAGTCATGGCAAAATAATCTCATATAATATAGTTTTTTTTATAGAAAATTCGAACTCCCTTACATAAAATCCTAGCTACGCCATTGAAAGCGATAAGCCGCCGCGTTAAATTACAACATGAACGGCGGCGGAGGTGATTATGGGAAGAAGAAAGGGTTCTGGGTGTTAAATTGCTGATCTGAATTCTGAAGGGGAAGAACAAGGAGGTGTTAATTCATTATCGGCCCTGCCATGGCCATGGAGGGAAGAGTCTCTTGATCTTCATCTCTCAAAAACAATTATGGGATTGCCCTTCCAATTTTTTTTTATTAATTAGCAGCAAAGATTTCTGGTGGTGTAGAATTAGGGTTTTTGGTTGGGTTGTCTGGTTCGTTTAGTCATTAAATTTTTTATTAATATTTTAAGTGATGTGGCATGCTGACTGGACGAAACTAACGGTGTTTTGGATGAAGATGGACATAATGACCATTTTGTTATTCTCTCAAACGTATGTTACCAAAACGTTCAAAATTAAAAGTTTGTGATCATTTTGTACAAAGTGAATAAGTTTATGACCTTTTATGCTAATTACCATATATATATATAGTTACTAGGTAAGTTTTTTCAAAGGAGGCACACATATATTAGTTATTACTTATTAGTTCTTTCCCATATTAAATTGCCTCAGCAATCAGCTGGCTTGCATCTTCATTACTAGGGTGGAAATCGGTACGGTATCGGTATGCCAATACCTTACACTCTAAAATCAATTTCAATCCCAATTTCTAAATAATTTCGGTATCCCAATCCCTAAATATTTCGGTATCCCAATCAGTACCTCGGTATCCCAATCGGTATTATCAAATACGAAATTAATTACCTTTATAATTAATAATTAAATATTATAAATTATATTTGATTGTTTAATATTGGACAAAGAGACTAAGCATAGAGTTTTGAGTTTGGCTAGAGGTAGGATATGGATAAATAGAATGGAGGAGAGGTGACATCTCAAGTTTTTGTCATTGGTAATCTTTAATTTGACGAACTGGAGGCTAAGAGAAGACTAATACTAGTGTTTGCTTGCTCAGTATTATGAAAATAACAATAGATTGATGGTTGATGGTCGTGTAGTATTAAATGAGAGAGTCTAGTTGAGAGGATAAAATACACACTAGCTTATATTTCGGTATTGTTCGATATTTTGGTATATACCAATCTCAATCCCGTAATTTCTAATAACGAATAACAATTGAAATTGAATCTCAATCCCAAAAAATAATACATGTATTCAATAATACCTAATATAGACAAATTCAATACAATATTCGATATATCCCAAATACTGGTACCTAACTTCCAGCCCTAACCTACTTGCTGCTTCCCTCCCATTCCATGGGTATCTTCTCCCTCACTCTCATTCACCCGCTCTAATAATGGTGTTTTGTTTCATTTCCATCACTCCTTTCTCAATTCTCGGGGACCTACTCACCTTGCCCCTTATCAGCACCGGATATACATAAAATTTGGTAGTGATTTCATTGAATTTCTTTAAAGAAAAGGAAGGCTGAAGCTACTCCTACATCAATTATTAAGCCCCTTTTTAGTTGGTAATTGAATCTCTTGCCCTTCCTTTTAGCTCCTCTTTCTCAATCCAATCCCATTCTATCAAAATAATAATGAAGCAGAAAGGGTAAAGTCCACCACACTCTCTATATCTATATCTCACAGTCGGTCTCACTCCAAACAAGATAAGAGAATAAAAAATCATTTCTTTTCTCCATTTAACATTTTCCATTTCCGAAGGTTGCGTTGTGTTTTCTGATTGCATAATTGAGTGAGGCCCCAACTAGATCCTTTGGTTCCCTTTTAATATTGGCAAAACTACAAAGAAAAAAGTTTTGATCTTGGGTTGTCTCTTTCTACGTTTTCTGCTTCCATAAGCAAGTCTCCTCCCAAGCTACTTATTTCACTGCCATGTGAACAGGGGGAAATTTTAAGGGGAAAAGCTTGAATCTTGCCGAGAAAATGTCATATGGGTAGTTGTTGCCCTGATCTTTCAGTGACACCTTGTTCCTCCGTCTGGGTAATTGTTTATTCAACTCTGTTCTTCATTTTTGGCGTTTTGAGATGATTGTGTTTATGGTTTCCCGCAGCAGCTGTAGTTTCCAGAATGGCCTCGGAAACAGACAAGCCTCTCCTTCCTTAATTTTGCTGTGAGATAAAAAAGGGTAATAATGATAGATGACTAGATGAGAAGCTCTCTGATTAATTGAAAAATAATATTTAAGAAAAACACATGTGTGGGGGGAGGACAGTGAGTAAGTTTGGCTTCTGGTCTCATGGATGTGAAACACAAGCACATGCGCCCCCCCATCTCACACCTTTTTTTTCTTTCAGTCTCTCGCTTAGCTTCTTCTGTTTGTCTTCATTGATGAAAAAATGCTTCTTCTTATCCCTTTCCTCGATTGTGATTTCATGGGTTCCCCCGTTGCTAGTTAAAAGACCTTAGTTGCAAAGTTTGGATCTTGGAAGAGGAGTAGCTCTGAGGTGAATTCAGCTTCTGAGTTTTGGAGGGTGGGCGACAACAATGGGCGAATCCATAGTTGCTGCCTCGTGGAACGATGGAGATAAGGTACATCTCAAAATCTACTGTTTCTGATCTGTCAGGGAAAAAAGGGTTTTCTTCAGTTGTGGGTTGCCAATTATTTGGCTTTTTGAGCTGCGATTATTTTGTTTTCTGCTTCTCTCTTTAGTGATGGGTTGTCTTCCTGTTTTTCTTTTTGGATTTTTGATGAGTAGACAGCTACGGGTGCCTCAAATTCTGGTCTGGAAGTGTCGGTTTCTTTTGGGAGATTTGAGAATGATTCATTGTCTTGGGAGAAATGGTCGACCTTCTCTCCAAACAAGTATTTGGAGGAAGTTGAGAAGTGTGCTACCCCTGGATCTGTAGCTCAGAAGAAGGCTTACTTTGAAGCCCATTACAAGAGGATAGCTGCCAGAAAGGCTGAATTGTTGGATCAGGAGAGACAGCTGGAGCAACAGAGGGAAACGGAGCAGCAGCAAACCTTGAGGTCAGGTGATCGGGATGGTGGAGATCTAGTGGAAAGTGGTTGTGTGGTGGGCCATGAATCTTTTGGTGGTAATTCTGATCCAGGATTTAGGGCAGAGACGGTTAAAGAAAATGAGGAGTATGATTATGATGAGCATGGTGAAGGTCCTCCAATGGGCACTGAAACTCTAGTCACCTCAGTTAAAGAAGTAAGGGAAGCGGAAGGACTTAATGGAAGCACCGAAAGCTCTGAAGTATACAAGCAGGAACCAGCTGCTTCAGTTGAGGAACCAGAAATTCAACCAATTGAGTCTCAAGAAGCGGAGGAGGAAAAGAGCATGGTGGCAGCAGCAGCAATGGGAGAGCAAAATGCGAAGTTGGATCATAAGGCTGAAAGTACTCCTTTAGTAAAGCAGCAAAAGGCGAAGTTGCATCATCAGAAAAAGCCACCGGCAAAGGTGAGTGTGTGTGGTCTTACCGTGAGAGATCTCTTTCTCATATTTCCTTGAAACTTGACATTCACTTCTTACTTAGGTCACTCCGATGAGCAAGGTTAAGGAGACTCCAATCGTGAAGAAGAAACAGGCATCGCCTGCAAATCCAAGGCCCCAAAGCTCTACTCCAAGAGTAACGAAGCCAGTGTCAGCTACTGGTCCTGTGCCTTCTTCACGGTCTTCCACAAAGAAGGGCAATGTGACTTCAGTACCAAAGAGCAAAAGTCCACTTACAGTTGAAAAGAAGAGAGTGGCTCCTAAATCCTTGCATATGTCTATTAGTGTGGATACTCCAAAATCTGATCCACCACCTCGTGCGTCTGCTCTTGCTTCGACGGCAAGAAAGTCATTGATTATGGAAAGAATGGGTGATAAGGACATCGTGAAACGGGCATTCAAGACATTCCAAAACAGTTACAGCAAATCGTCTCTACCTCAGGAAATGACTTCGGGAGCTAAGCAGGTTCACATCCATTTGATGAATTTCTTAAAGAGTAATATTGATGTCCAGCTTTCTAATTTTTTGTTCATTTTGCTTGCATAGGTTGCATCAACCAGGTCAGAGGTTAAAGTTTCCAATTCTACAACAGCGCGGAGAGAGAATGGAGGGTAATCAACTTAATACTTTGTTCAATGCTATTTGCTCATAGTTGATCATGTCTGTGCTTTCCATGATAGCTTTGTTGTTTGGATCCCTATGATTTGCTTCTTAGTCTGGAGTAACAAAGGTTTCTATCTTCATTCGTTAGATTGTTAGATTCGAACTTAAAACGGTTGGAACTGCTTTCTCAGATGCCATATGAAATAGTTATCGAAGAGCTGAAGAGTCCGATTAGATGACTTAGGTGCAAACACGGGCTCTTGGAGTTCCTTACTATGAGATTTATGTGTGAACAATAAGATACCATTGAACAAATACTGCAGCTTAATTGTAGCCTTTTCTGGTGATTTGACTGCTGCTAATGACTACATAATGTGGAAACAGTTCTTACAAGGCGGGCGATGCAGATAAAAGATATGCCAAGGCAGCTCCATCTTTTGCCTTGAAAAGTGATGAAAGGGCAGAGAGAAGAAAGGAGGTACAAATAGCTCCTTCCAACATCCCTCTTCTTAGAAAGATCTTTTCCCCTTCATTTGCAAGCTAGATGAAAGAATGAGCTCATTGGCTACCCATCTTAAGATATCTCCTCCAAACCCCATTTCAGTTCTTGAGGAGACTGGAAGAGAAATCTAGTGCTAAAGAGGCAGAGAGTGCACATCTTCGTACGAAATCCAAGGTATGCAATTGCTTGATTTTTCCATCATACCAGGGTTTTGTCCATTGGCCATGGCTCTCACTTTGTCTTTGGATTCTGGTTTCTTGCCCACAAGGAGGAGAAAGAGGCAGAGATAAAGAAACTGAGGCAAAGCCTAGCCTTCAAGGCCACACCAATGCCAGGCTTCTACAAGGGGCAGAAAGCGATGAAAGGCTCATTCGATAAGGTATTTGTGTTTATTTTAACTGCCTCCCTTCCCCTTTTCTTTCTCCCTTATAATAATATGTTCAATTAGTAGTCCACAGATAGAATCTCTTGCCAAAGAGAAACCCTTGACCTTGTCCTTGTCTTGTTTCTTTCGTTCATGTGATGGTCTGCATCATTTTTTACTGAATGGGTTGGTAGTTTAGACTGATCTTCCATATGATATATTATAAACCTCTCTGCACCTAGCATTTCCTAATGAAGATCCATATATATGTTGATAATAGGCAAGCGTATGACTGCTATGCTATTCATTGAAATTGAAGCTTTCATTATCTGTGTCAAGTTGGCATCACACTGAATGGGTCAGACTGAAAAGTCGCAACCTTTTAAGTGTGCATCTAGAAGTGTAGATCTGCTTAACAAGTATCAAACTGCTGTGTTTGATTATGAAAATGAGACTATTCTGCGGTAGGAGAAGCCTCAAATGGACATGGAACTGTTACTTACTGCTAGGGGGTATGACTGAATTAGGTCATATAGACTCAAAGGATTAAGATAGCAACCCCATTATACATATATTAGAATTTGGTTTAACTGCTAGATGGATGAAATGGTACAGTTGTTTTATTGATTGCTTTTAGGATGAGTAATGTGCCTGTTACTTCCCAATTGGTTGTTCGTCGTGTTTCGACTTTTCATGGAATTTTCTGTTACCCTGGTTAATGCAGGAGGGTTCAAAAACACTCAAGATATAGATAGCAAGCCACGCTTAACGTTGGAAGAAGTACAAAACGAGATCTAATTTCTCCAAAAACAATGCTTCGCAAGGGAAGCTGTCCATCCTACTATGGAGAGCTTGCAGGCTGCTGCAGCTGTATTTAGCTGAAGGAACCCATGATCGACTGGAGTACTCATCATCTGCTGTTAAGAGAGATTGGCTACTCTGCCTGATTGCAGGCCCCCCAATATTCAGTCTTTTCATAATTTACTTATAGAGCGAATAGTAAATGTGTACATCAGAACTTGCCACGAGACAGAGATAGACCCCAGTATAGTAGCAGTAAGTAGTGGTGGTAGACGTTGAAGGGGGTATCTAGAATGAATGGAATGAACATTTGTCAATAATGTGACACAAGAACACAGAAGTTGGAAATCTGGAAACGTCTTCTCAGCTCTTTGTTCTGTCATGTTCTGCGTTTCTTTCTCAGACGTCGGTTTATAGAGTTGAGATGAATGCATATACGGATGAAAGTTGGTGGCTTTCCAAGATGCAAATGAGGCATGCCTGTATGTAAGAATTATGATCTAGGAATCAACAGCTAGGGTTCCAAGATTTGAGAGCAGAAGGAGAATTGGGAATTGAAGAGGATTGAGAGCTGGTGATTGAGGAAGGAGGAGAACTCGGCTCAAAGAGGGGAAAGCTGGCGGTAGAGAGAGGGAGGGGGAAATTCGGTTAGGGTAAGAGGAGAGACAGACTAGGTTTACAGAATTTTGTTCGGTAATCACTTATAGGTATAATATCATTAATACGATATTTTATCAAATATTTCCTTCTACTATTTTTTTTATATCAAACATGCCTTTGTGCTTTGACAAAATTATCAAACATACCCTTCTGCTAAAATTTTCATACAAAAAATAGTCAATCATGGTTGAACCGAGATTTAGACGACCCGACATCGACAAATGGGAGGGAAGATATCAGTTTTGTCCCCCGTTTTATTTCTCTAGGTCTCTTCAAAGTGAAACTATTTGAATTATTTAGCTATACAAAAGAACCACAAAAATTTTAAAATCAAATAATTAGGGATATTTTAGACATTTGTGTCGCCCAAACCAAAGTTCGGCGTTGGTTAACGGTTTTTGGATGACAATTTTAACAAAAGTGCATATTTGATAATTTTTACAAAGTACAGGGGCATGTTTGACATAAAAAATAGTAAATGGGCATGTTTGATAAACGATCATAGTAGAGCGGCATATTATACCTATAACCCATGAATAATCCCAGTAATTATAGAGTCCGATAAATTTATCTTTTAATGCCCAACTAATATTTCTTAACAAAATACCCCAATTGTCCCCTAAGACCATCTTTAGTGATTAGATCCAAATGTCCAAAATTTAAGGCTATAATTCAAATTCTAGCCCCTCAAAAGGTGTTTTGGCATTAGTAGTGTGTTCCAAAAGTCCAAATTTCCATATTTGCGCTTTAACTCATAGTCCAGTTTTGTATATATTTCATCATTCTAATTACAAAAAAATTTCATTAACTTTATATAGGTACTATTAATTAATTAAGACGGACATTTCGACAAATTTTTTTTTTGAATTCTGACCATTTGTAAATATAACTTAATTAATGACGGTCTCTTGTTTGGACCGAAAGAGTCGTTGGAGGAGATTGTGGGTGCTAAAAGATAAAGTACTTTCTTTTTTTTATTATTATTAAAGCTCTTTTTGGCAGGTGGACCCGTATGCTTTTCCCACATGTGACCACACACTCTTTTGGAACTTTTGTCCTTTTCTGAGCCAAATTTGAACCCAATTTTTGGATCAATTGGAACTTTTAGCTTTTTGGAACCTTACTAAAGTGGGTCTGGTCCAATTTTTTGGAATTCCAGCCCACCACTAAAGTTGGTCTAAAGCCCCAAATAATCATCAATTGTCACAAAACATAAATATACGACAAATAGTTAGGACAAATTCCTAATTATCCAAAAAATCCTCAATGTTTCTAGCATTCCACCCCTCTTGAGACTAATCTTGCCTTCAAGGTTGACACTCTTCCCTCTGATTCTCCTTGCCTTCCTCCGCAGCTAGCTCCTCTACCTCGTCCTCTAAGGTCGCCATCAACAACATCAGGTGGGTGTTGGCACACTGGTGTCCGACGGTGAACCTCTCGTTGCATTTGAAGCAGCACCCCCTCCCACCTCTTCTGCTCCATCTCCGTAGCTGTCAATCTCACGAAGCCACGTGGAGGTAGTCGTGGACCTAGTCGAGTCACGGTAGGGATTGCCTATGTAGTTTGGACCTCCACCATTGGTGTCCGGGTCATCGCTGGTGGGGGGTTACCTCCCATTTCGGTTCTTACGCTTTTGCCTCGACCCCCGGTCATCCTCTAGAAGCGATTCACGCTACCCTTTCAACTAGCCATGTCCTCTTCTTTTCAACCTACAACCTGAAAGCCACTTTCAATGAGTTACGTTCAAATACCTTGATAGTAGCTGCAATCTCATTCTTCAACCGTGCCATACAAAGGCCTACTAGTTAGGGTTAAAAATTTATCTGTCCCATCCCTGACCCGTCCCTAAAGGGTCAAGATGTATAACTGACCCGTCCCTGTCTCCTTCTTGACCCTGTCTGACCCTCACGGGTTGGGACGGGCTGGATCAGTGGGTCGAACACACAATTTTTTTTTTACAAATTACGTTTTGGTGCCCAAAATTATTTTTTCTTTCAATCTAGCACCTAAAATTTAATTTTTTATTTTTACAAATAAGTCCATAAATTTTGATGGTAAAATTATGTTTGGTACCCAAAGCTTTTTATTTTTTAAGTTAGTACCTAAACTTTTAAAACTTTACAAAGAGGTCCAATGTGGTATGAAATATTTGTTGTTGCTAAGAGTCACATGGTCAAAAAGTGACCCGTCCCTAAGTTGTCCCTACCCATCTTGACCCTTACAGGATTAACAAATGACATGTCCCTAATCTGACCCTGTAGACAAACTGACACGTCTCGACCATCAGGGACGGGAAGGGTTGGGACGAGTCAGTGGGTCTTCCGGGTCAAGGTTACACCCCTACCCACTAGTGTCTCCTCTGCATCCCCTTACACATGTTGTCTAACTCTAACTTCAAGAGCTCCGACCGGTACTCTGCTACTGTGCTAGTTTGTTTCACTTTGGCTTACTACTCCAGTGTACACCCCTCATATCTGCCGAACTGAAACTTCAGCTCCTCCTTAAAGTACCCCCCACGATATCTCCATGTCGTCTTCTATATTAGACCTTTCCATCAATTCCCACCACTGGAGGACATCACCTCTAGGTAAAAAGGCGCCATGTGCACCTTCCTTTCCTCCCGAGTAGCATGGTTCTTAACCCAACTGTCAGAAGAATACATCCACAAGGCTGCATTCTCTTGCCCATTAAATTTTGGAAACTCAATGGTCGGAGGTTTAGCCCTAAAAACCAAGTCATCATCACCATCATAAGTAGATAACAACTCCCATACATGTCGTGATTACCACCTCCTTGGTGGTGCAAGTTACTGATGGTGCACATCTACCATTGTCAGGGTGGTGGTAGGAATGCCCAACCATCCTCATCATCCGACTGGTCTCCCAATCAAGGTCTAGAGCCTTGTCCAACCTCCTAGTGGCACAAAGATGGCCTGATGTCCGGTCCAGGTGACTTCCACGGAGGGTAAGGTCTGTAAATTGCTCCTCGAAATTGGTATCACGACCCGTTTCGCCCCCTTCAAGACTGATGCCCCTGCTGACCGATTCGGTCATAATTGGTTTGAGTCGGTTAGACCTAGACCGATTTGCCCACTTTTAGTTTGACCTGGAGCAACCCACCCAGATCCGGCTAGGTTGTGACTCAGTCGCCTTAGAAGCCCAATGTCGTGCTCTGCCTCAGCCCACACTTGGCTCGGACGACAGAAGCTCATCTCGTCCCATTCGCGTGCCTAGCCCAAGCCTAGCGACCCTAATCTGCTGCCTCCTGCGGCCCCTTTGCCCTTCGTGCATCAAGCCCAGGCCCATCGTTGTTTCCCTACCCAGTAAGTCATACCCTGGCAGCTTCCCTTTGTCGCAGATTGTCGCAATTTCTTGGGTCGTGGGAGTCGGAAGCATCCTAGGAGCAAAGTAAGATCCTCGTGGACCTTGTGTCCCACACAACCCTTTGATCGGCAGTACCTGCCCCTTCCTGTTGTCGCTTCTTTCCGAGCCGGTCTACACACGCCCTTTGGTGTCGTCAACGTCCTGTCTCTCTCTGTCGGCGCCACCAGCGGCGCCACGACAACACTCGTCACTTGGTTAGCAACGTCGGTTCAAAGTCTTGTCGGCGTGTCGCTTCCCTAGTCGTGGTCAATCCTTTGCTCATCGCCAAGATCACTCTTAGGACCTCGTTGTTGGTGCGCATTGCTCTCGAATGTGTGAGGAGATCCGAACCATCTGCCAATCATTTCTTCTTGCGTGTTCACTAGGGCCTTCAGCAGCGCCTGAGAACCTTTAGTCGTCATGAGGTCCTCGACCTCCACGACATCTTGCAACTTCTGTCAGGTAGTTGGATCCATTCGTTATTGTGTAAATCCCTGACGTCGATCATTCTCTGATACCACTGCAAGAACTAGGATCTAGACGTCAACAACTAGGGTCCTGAGATTTGAGAATAGAAGGAGGATTGGGAATTAAAGAGGATTGAGAGGTGGTGATTGAGGAAGAACGAGAACTATGCTCAATGGAGGGGAAAGCCGTGGTTAGAGAGATAGGGAGGGGGAGTTCGGTTAGGATAAGAAGAGAAAGATTACGCTTGAGGAATTTTATTTTTTAATTGTTTAATGAGTAATACCACTAATTACAAAAATATATATAGTACGATAAATTTTCTTATACTACCCAACTAATATTCCCTAACAAAATACCCCCAATTGTTCCCAAAAGCCCCAAATAATTACTAATTATCACAAATCATATATAAATGTCAAATAGGTCAAAATGTCTAATTTCCCAAAAAAAAAAAAACCACCGATGTTTATAACTTTGCGACACTGAACTGTAAAGCATCTTTATAAGTGACGCAAGCAACGACAAAGAAGTTGGCCTTATTATAACTTTCTCTATAACTTTGTAAAACTAATAATTTTTTGTCAAATTGTTGGTGAGGGAGAATTCAATGGAATCAACCAATAAACTGTTTTATTTGGCACGCCTTCACGGTACATAAACCTAAACTAAAATTATTTTTTACCTTTTGTTCCATCGTTTCCCATTCAAGGTCTTATAGTTACAATTTAAAATTTTAAAAATCACATAACTAATTCCTCAATAACTCACCAATGCTCGTTCATAAAAATTAAGGGCTAGGTTTATTATTTTATTCTTGTAAACTAAATATTCCTAACAATACTCACCTTCAACCTTTAACGTAATTATTACTCTTATATTAACGAAAAATCCTATTTAGCTTTTAGTAATATTTATTCCTAATGTTGTTAAGATTTCTAGTAAGTAAATATACACAAAAACACTCACTATTACACGCAAAAAACACTCTTTAGCTGCATTTCTAATTCTTAATCTCCTCCCTACAAAGTTCACATATTTTCTCTTCTACTACCTTCCATTTTTTTGGTCGTGGGTAGCAATGGCGGATGCCGAGGGAGCCCCACCACGATGCTCAACTTCCATTTACCAGACTCGCAGCCACTAGTTGTTCACCCGACCACGAGTCAAGTGCTCCAACCTTTTCGAATATCGATTCATGATAGGACATGATATAAATAATTATCTACTCGACCAAAGGGAGATTACTGGATTGTTACAAACTATAGTATCATTTAATTGACTGAAATATTTTAGTGTCTTCCAATATCTTATAATGAAAGAAAAAAACTAATCATCCAAGAGAATAAAACAACCTCACAAGAAAATAAGAAGATTGAAGAATCAAGTTCACTAATAACTATACTTTACATATTACTTCATGCAAAATATGTTGGCTTCTTATTCATGTATAGTAACCAAAAATTAAACTCTCTCACAGTTTTCTAACAACTTCTCTCTCCTTCTTTTTGCTCTGTCCTCTCTCTTGTTTGATCTTGAACTTTTCTAGCCGTTGTGCTTTCCCAGACTTGTTCTGGATGTTGTACCCCCTCCATTGATGAGATGATTTGGTTCTCCTTCTCGGATACTGAAATGACGGTGAAGATGGATGATCCTGTTTCCTTTGAGAGAAGGTCTTGGTACCTTATTAAATGCAAGAAGGAGGTGTGTGGGTTACTCCATGCCAGCTGTGTGTGCCCTGATATGATTCAACAACTGCAACAAAGGGATGTAGGGCGCATCAATTACTCTGCCTCTCTGGTGGATGGAAGTTATTGTCCCTCTGTTACTGAAGGTAGAAACTCACCAAATGTAGATACCAGTCTTTTCAAGCCACCATTACTGAAGGATGGAAGGTGTTTCGAGCCACTAAAAGCAGCAGGGGAATCCAAAAGCTCTAAGCGAAGGTTAACAGCAATAAAACCTGGTCCAATCAAACCAACTACCCTATTAAATGAAGCTGTTGGAGAGTGTAGAAATGCTGGAGGAGTTATAAGAAAGGGAATACTGCCATCAAACATTAACATCCATACTCAAAACCTACCTTTCTGTTGTGAGCATACTGATACCCTCTTCTGTCAAAACCCACCTTTCTGTTGTGTGCTTACTGATACCCTCCTCTGTCTTGAGCTAACGAAAATGAGTGTTAACGATCTGATCACTCAAGCTGGGGAATGGGATCTGGAAATGGTTCCGGATGAAGAAAGACTTACCAATCGGTTCTCCCTGGTTTTCAAATTTTTCTCTGAGCGAAGTATCAGCCTAAGGGCTTTGAGAGGTATGATCAGAACTTCCTGGGTGGATAATCCTAAGCCAAAGCTCCGGGAGATGCCCAACGTCCAACCAGTCTATGAAAATGTCTTCACTCTTGATTTTGAGAAGATGGAAGAAATGGAGGCGATTTGGCTGGAGCGACCCTGCCCCATATCTGGTACTTTGATGCAAGTGAGGAAGCTATCGGGCCTGGAGAATGCAAGAGAAGTCAGCTTCAGGATGGTGGACTTCTGGATCCAAATCCATAATCTCCCAGAAGCATACAGATCTGAGAACAACATTGCCATGGTTAGCAGAATGTTTCACAAAATCATCGAGATTGACCGGGCTGCTCTTCAATCTCAAATATACAGGAAGTTTGTGAGGGTGTTCGTCCAGGTGGACACCTCAAAACCGATTCCAGATGGGTTTTACATTCGCCATCAACAAAAAAGAACTTGGATTGAATTCAAGTATGAGAAACTCTACTCACTGTGCTACCACTGTGGAGGAATCGAGCACACCAGATTGGAGTGCGATCTGAGAAGAATCAGCGAAGAAAACGGAGATCAACCGCCAATGGTGCAGAGATGGGGACCGTGGACGAGGGCCAGCTCTCCTCTCTTCTCACCTAGGACGATCCAGCAGCAGGAGGTTGAGGCCGTGGTGGTCACAGACGCGGCATCGACATCTGAATCTCCAGGAGGATCCCGGGTCCAGTCGCCGGCGAACACCATGAACAGAGCGATCTTCGCTCAACCCCAGATGGTCCCACAATCCTTGGTAACGACGCCTGCCATCCATCAATCCCCTCACTCAAGTTTCGCTCAGAACTTCCCTCTTTCTCCATCAGTTAACCCATTCCAATATCCCTACCTCTCATCTCCTTCTCCACAAAGCTACCCCCGCCTTTACCCTGAACTGTGAGCAGTTCGCTTCCCGAACCAAGGAGATAGAGTTGCTCGAAACCTTTTTGGTTTTCCCCAAACTCCACCAATTCCTTTCTCCTGTAGCCAGATTCCCGTCCTTCAGAACCCTCCACCAGGCTTTGGGTTGTCTAACCTAAGCCCATTACCCTTCCAGGCCCAGACCCACTTTACCTTCAACCACAATTACTTTCCTGGCCCAAGTGCAACTCATTCTCCTGCTGGAGCCCAACAGCGTGGCCACAGGTCTTTCTCTCGCAATGGCAGCCCAATGATCCAAAAAAAGAAAAGAAAGACATCTGGCTGTCTTTTAAAAGAACATGGGGAAGAGCAGTCTGATGCCATACAAGGTGGAGCTGAAGAAAAGGTTGACAATGAAGATACAGTTTTCTCGCCTGGTTTTGAACCCAATCTTGCTGTGGTTATGGTGGCCGATTCCAAGCCACCAGGGGTCCCATGAATGCTATTGTGTGGAACTGTCAGGGATTCGGGCAGACCACCACAGTTCGTCATCTCAGGAAGTTGGTAAAGAAACATCAACCATCTTTACTGTTTCTGTCCGAGACAATGAAGGAAGAATCCTATATGAAATCCAAGAGAAGGAGTATGAGATTTGCTGATGAGTTCCATGTCAATCCGGTCCAAACGGCAGGGGGTTTAGCTCTTTGGTGGGTGGCGGGGTTACCTATCACAATTATGGATAGTAGCTGTTTTTTTATTGATGCTTTTGTTGATGTTAATGGGGGCTTTTTTATCACTTTTGTTCATGCCCCGTCTGATCCTGCTCGGCGTAGGGATTTTTGGGATCAGATTAGTAGTCTTAGGACTAGTGTTGATGATAAATGGGTGGTTATTGGGGATATGAATGCTTTGCTTTCCTCAGAGGAAAAGAAGGGGGGGAATGTGCCTAGGAACGTATCTACTGTACCCTTTAAAGCTTTTGTTGATGGGAATGGTTTAATGGATATGGGATTTAAGGGCTACCCTTTCACGTGGAAGAATAATCAGGAAGGAATGAGACGTATTGAGGAGAGACTTGATCGTGGGTTGTGCTCTACCTCGTGGTTTACAATGTACAGTAATGCTCTGATTATTCATGAGCTGCCTATTGAATCTGATCATAGTCCTCTGCGATTGGAGTTTGAAGGGATGCGGGGAAAATCAAGGACTCCCTTCCGTTTTGACACTAGATGGTTTCAAAACGAGGAGTGCTTTGAGATTGTGAATCGGAATTGGGATGGCGGAGGCCTTTGCCATGAAAGACTGCAAATTTGTGAAAAGGAATTGACCAATTGGGCTAAACAAATGTTCAAAGATCAAAATAGGAGGGCTGAGGACATCCAAAAGAGATTGGTTGACATCTTCATCTTGACCGATCAGTGGAGGTTGTTGAAGAGGAAAAAAGTCTGATGAGTGAGCTTGCTGCCATTTGGAAGGATGATGAGTTATTTTGGAGCCAACGGTCACGTGTGGATTGGCTCAGTGTCGGAGACCAGAACAATAAGTTCTTTCATGCTTCTACCTCTCTTCGCAAGCTTCGAAACAGAATTTCTGCCTTGAAAGATGATTATGGGAACCTGATTACCCAGCCTGATGCTCTTTCTTCTCATGTGACTAATTTCTACAAAAGTCTGTTTACAAAGAAATCAGGGCTTAATGATGGAGCCCTCCAGGACTTTCCGAGGCTGGTTTCACATGATATGAATCTTGATCTTGATAGAGATCCGACTGTTGAGGAGATTCGTGCTGCGGTGTTTGACCTTGGCCCTACAAAATCACCAGGTCCTGATGGTTTTGCTGGATCGTTTTACCGCAAGTTTTGGAGTAAAGTTGGTCCTGATTTCTGCAGTGAAGTCATGAGTTTCTTCAGAACCTCTATTATGCCTCAGGGATGGAATGATACTCATATTGACCTTATTCCCAAGGTTCTTGCTCCGGAGTCTATTTCCCAGTACCGACCCATTAGCTGCTGCAACTTCAGATACAAGATCATCTCTAAAATTCTTTCAAGTCGAATGAAGAAGTGGCTTCCGGGTTTGGTCTCCGAAATGCAGGCAACGTTTACAGGTGGGAGACTTATCCAGGATAATGTCATTATTGTTCATGAGATGCTGCATAATTTCAATAATCGACGTTATGGTGATTGGGACATGATGGTGAAATTGGATATAAGAAAAGCATATGATCTTGTTGACTGGGATGGTCTCGATTCTATTCTGCATGCTTATGGGTTCTCTGAGAAATGGCGGGGCTGGATTCGAGAATGTACCAGGACATTAAAATTCTCTATATTATTGAATGGGAGCCCTACTGAGCCGTTCTCTCCATCCCGAGGGATTAGACAAGGTGATCCCATCTCTCCCTTCTTGTTCATCCTTATGTCTAACGCCTTGTCTTTCTTAATTGAAAGAGGGATCTCTAAAGGTGATATTAGAGGTATCAAGCTCAACCAGAATTGCCCCAGAATTTCTCACTGTCTTTTCGCGGATGACACTGTCATTTTCGGCAAAGCCAGCGTATCGGAAGCTGACAGGATCAAGGCCATCATTGAGATTTATGGAGGCACAACAGGACAGGAGATCAATGCCTCCAAATCGTCTATTTTTTCAGCAAGAATACTTCCCATGCCATTCAGAATCTTGTGAGCACCAAGTTCGGATTTCCGTCTGCAGTGTGCCATGATAAATATTTGGGAGTTCCAACTGAATGGGGTAGATCCAAAAAAGAAACATTTAGATTTCTTTTGGAGCGAATGGAGAAGAAAGGTGAATCTTGGAAGAGCCTCATGTTATCACCAGGAGGGAAAGAAGTTCTGTTAAAAGCAGTGATTCAAGCTTTGCCGACGTACATCATGAGCGTCTTCTTGCTACCTCTGAACTTAACAAACAAAATGGATTCGATCCTGAAGCGTTTCTTCTGGTCTGGTTCCATGAAGAAGAGGGCTATTCATTGGTGTAAAGCAAGGGATTTGGAAATTCCGAAAGATGAAGGAGGATTGGGGTTCAAGAATTTTCACCTCTTCAACCTTGCTCTTATTGGGAAGCAGGTTTGGCATCTCTTTGATAACCCCGATGCCTTGTGGGCAAAGCTTTTGAAGGGACTTTACTTTCCCAATGGTGATGTGTTTTCGGCAGCAAAGGGGAGTAAGAGTTCATGGATTTGGAATGGCTTTTGCGAGGCTAAGGAGAAGATGAAGAGCGGTTTGATTAGAGGGATTATGTCAGGGGAGGATTCTTCTTTCCATTGCGACCCTTGGCTTCCTTCCATTCCAGGTTTTAGCCTCTCTCCTTTGGGTTTGGAGCCATCAAAAGTCAGTGATTGGATTGATCAGGACACTCGGAGCTGGAAAATGGATGATATCAAGAATCTTGTGCCCGAGGAGATTGCCCTTGCTATTGCCCGAGTCCCGATTGGGCCATGTACTGCTCATGATAGATGGATTTGGAGAGGTACGGAATATGGTGGTTACAGTGTTAAGTCTGCCGTGGTGTCTTCTTCTCGTCCAAATAGGGACGATTGGAAATGGTTGTGGGATCTCAAGTTGCCCCCTAAACTCCGGTTTTTCATTTGGAAGAGTGGTAAAAATGCAATTGCAACACGAGCGAGGCTTTTCGAACGCAAATGTGCTCCTAATCCTTTGTGCCCGCTTTGTGAGGAACACAACGAGACCATCTTGCATTGCTTGTTCCATTGCTCCAAAGCTTCCGCGACTTGGTCTCAAATGGGATTGGTGCATGTTCTTCCTGCGGCTGACTCAAGCTTTGCAGTGTGGTTTTTTGACCTCAAAGATCGAATGAATGATGACCAGATTACCAAGATTGTTTGCACTCTGTGGAATATTTGGCTTGCTCGAAATGGTTTGGTCTTTGATGGTCGGGCGTTCTCTCCGCCCTCTGTGGCAATTTTAGCTGATCGAGATGTCCGGAACATGCAAGAAGCTAGGATCTCGTCCTCTGGTTCTTCCTCTTCAAGGGCAGCTAATTTGTCGTCTCAGCCTGAGAGTTCTCGGTCGACGACCTTATCACCGCCTGGTCCTTTCAGTAAGGTTGTGCATTGCGATGGTTCCTTTGTTTCTGATGCACAGGTGGCGGCTTATGGGATTGCTATTGCTAACTCCCACGGTCAGGTTATCGACGGAAGGGCTGAGAGATTCTTTTGTTCCTCTTCGATTCAGGCAGAAGCTTTTGCAATTCTCAATGCAGTTATCTTGGCGGCCCGGGATCCAGTCCCAACATGTATCCGGTCTGACTGTCAGAGGCTTACGATTGCGTTGAGACAGGATCCGAGCCTTTGGCCTTGGCAGTGCAGGGCAACCCTTGCCCGTGTGGTTTCCATTCTTTGTGTTTCTCCCTGGATCTCGATCGAGTTTGTTCCCCGTCGACTCAATTTGTTGGCTGATTGGATCGCAAGGAACTCTCGTCTTGATCTTCTTCCTCCGGAGTGGACTGTCATCGCTGACCTTGTAGCTCCATTATTGTAATTGTAATTCTCCCCTCTTGTTTGGGTTTGGAATGAAAGGAATGATGTTGGTTGTCAAAAAAAAAAAAAATTATTCATGTATAGTATATGTTAGGTGCAACTCATGCAAGATGAACAAGCTTTAAATTTTCTTTGTTACTTTTGTTATTACCGATGGATAAATGTGGATAATCTGAAATCTGATTGGTATGGGTATGATTTTGATTTTCTATGTGATTCTTGTGTGGATATCGGTACTATTCTGCATAGAATAATAAATATACACTATACACCCGACCCGATTCTTTGTTATCCCTACGATCAAGAACATATTGGAGCAAGCCGTTCCATTGTAAATGTAGGATGTGATTAAAAACACAATCTATGTATTATCTCCATCTTTATATGGAAAAAGAAAACAATTAACAAAATACACAATATATAATAGTGAGAGGAGGAAAGCGCAACCTCTCATTTCAAATGTCGTGGCCTGAGAGTAATTCTTGTAAGGTCATTTTCATAATTGTGCTAAATTTTATATAT